GTGTCCCAAAACGTCGGCTGCATCCTTCGGAGGCCGCATTTGAAGGCCGATGACTTCACAGCCAGGCGACGAAGGCTGTCCCAATTCGTCAACTCCTTCAAATGTGGCCGACAAATGCGTTCTTCATTTCCCAGAATTTGAAGGATGGGTCGGGTGTGTCCTTCGTGGCCCACCATATCCCAGAATTCATAGCGCGGCCCAGCCAATTCCAGTTTCCAACAATGGCGGCCGCTACTAAGTTTTAATATTACTCTTATTAATCTTTCTGGGTCACAAGATAAACTTTGAACATATTTTCAGACGAGAAAGTAACCATGTAAACTTCAAATATCTGCTTGGTTTATCAAGACATCGCATATTTTTCAAAAGTGCTCTGACGTTTTCGGAGACGTCTGTTACCCACTAGCTCGATAGCTAACCGGGGGTTTCAATGGTCACTCGAGCCAGCGAGAGCAGCGGACCCCCGGCTTCATCGTTTTCAGACCCCCACTGTCTTTCACTACTCAGGTTAAACATGATATATAAGTCACTTGGATAACTTGAAAATGTAATTGTTTGGTTTTTTTTGGTGTTTTATTTGTTCCGGAGTAAATTAGTTTAGCAGAGATCAAAGTGATTAGATGAGATAAAATAAAACTTTATTAATCCATCAGGTGGGTTCCTCCGGGATTTTTCACACAGCTGAATAAACGTCAAACAGAAAATTGATTAAACAGAAGTGTGAGACGGTCGAGAATTCACGCCACTGTCCAGTTGTATTATAGATATCAAGGAGCAGACGGCTGAGTTTATTAAACTCTACCGAGACAGCGGTGACGCATATCCAAATCTGAAGGCTAGACTGTCCCATTTCACAGCCTCGCCTTCTTGGTCTTCGAAGGACCCGGCTCACGTAGACCGCGAAGGCCGGGTCCTCTGAAGGGTGTGGCCTACATTTTGGGACACAGCTACTGTGTTACCCAGAAGGCATCAACAATGGAACCCTGACAGCAGCTGTTTAAACAACTAGTCTAGTGAGGCTTGAGAAATTGATTATGTTTTTCAGTTATCTGTGATTTGTCTGGTCATTTTTACACATGATAAACATCTGCATGACTCTACAAACATTGAAAACAGGGAAAGCTTATATAAATCACTCAAGGCATTCCCTTGCTGAGAGTTTTAATTCCTTTACTAGCCCTGATATTATCAAAAATACTGTGGCTGATAGCTGTCAACATGTTCTAGACCTGAGAACAAAGCTACACACATTCGGGAGGTTGTCACAGGAGAATTTGCTCCAGGCCCAGGACCATCAGCAGCAACTGTAACAACCCAGGGGCTAGGGGCCCCTTTGTGGTCACAGTGAGTAGGTGTTGCAGTTTATTCTTCTTGACCTCACCAATCCATTTGATATCCCAGCTGGAGAAGAAGGGTCAGATGAGGCTGGAAGTTATTTCATCACAGCTTTATTACCAATGCGCACTGGGAGACCTCTCTACATGCAGTCACAGCAAGCATCAAGTGGATCTGAGGACCCGTCCTCATACACACACCTATGTTACTATAGTGATACTATAGGTAACTGTTGTGGCTTAATGTTTACCTAGCTGAGGTAGCTTTTACTCCGCTTAGCTTTAAGGTCACATGAAATGCTTTGAGAATAAATGTCCACAGGGGTGACAACGTCATCCCAACAAAACACACACTTACGAATCATTTCTTGTTCTTCTGATCTCCAGCCACACCCTTTTATCTAAGCAAACCTAAACACATTCTATTCTAATCGTTGTTTTATTCTACTCACATAGGGGATGTTGACTATGAAGTGGTGCGGTCAGACAGGGCTAGAGCCACAGATCATTTTTCCCCTCCACCTGGTTGCACCACACTCATAGAGCACCATTTTGATACCCGTTCCGGAGTGTTCACACCCCTATAGATTACCTGAGCATAAAAGACACATTGGTTAGTCAGAGTCCAAGTAACAGCCTTCTCCCCTATGTACACTCTGTACCAATTTGTCACACTTCTGTTAGGCATGTTTGGAGCCCCTGCCATTTTCTAGCATCTCATGAACTAGGTTTGGACGGAGGGAGGTATAGCAGCTGGGGTACCACGCAGGAGGTAGGCAGGTACGCCCCCAAACAGACAAAACAGGGGTTGACTGTCCTGTTGTCTACCTCAGCTAGAAATTGTCAGACGGAGAAACCAGGTACAGCACCAGGTAGAAAAAGAAAGCCTGGCCATCCAGTGGGTAGTTGACTCCCTTTGTGATTATCTCCTGGGGCATCCATTCACCCTCTGTTCAGCTCATGCACGGCTGAAAGATGCCAAGACCCAGAACACCCACTGGTGTCTGGCTCTCCAGCCTTTTAAGTGCAACGTGGTGCAGATGGTCGCAGCTAGACCTAGAATAGGAAGGGAGCTGAGACCACATGGTTCTGCGTGAGCAGTAACCTGCAGTGAGAGACAGTCGGTGATTACAGCCTGGAAAGGCTGAAATTGGAAGTAGAGTGTTGCACCTTAAACCCCTATGTGTGCATGTGTTGTGCTGGGTAACATAATATCAGAGCATGTTACAACCACAGCCAGCAAATTCTGTTTCTGTTCTATCAGGATGTACTGGAGAGCATCATAAGGTATGGGATATCACTGTGATATGGCAATCTCTGCATTAAAGCAAAATATAAGCTGTCACAGTCTCCCATGAACCTGATGGGGAGGACTGAGGACCTCAAAATGCTGTCTGTGATACCAGCAGTGACCTGTGGAATTTCTTTTACTTTCAAGACTTTGGGGGTAAAAAATTTATTAAATAACTAAATAAAATCTATAATTGAAAGAAACATGTTTTTTAAGGGGGTTTTTTCTAGCCCAAACATTCATTCTGTGAATAATCAAGAAATATACTATTATATATACTACTATATACTACTATAACTATGCATAATTTTTCCGAGATTTCTGTTGGGACATGATCATCTGAGCTCCTCATACCACCAAACCCACCGTCCCCTCCCCACCTACTGCCCCCCCTTCAATTCCTCACATTTTCTATTTTTATTTCTCTCGAGTCTTGCTCTTAGAAATATTAAATGAATGTACGATATCATTATTGGATATGGATTTGTGACTCGAGTATATGGATACTAGATTTAAAAAGGGAAATTGTACACTTAATTAAACTAAAAACATGAGTTCTGCAAGAAAACCTGACAAGATGGAATTTTAAAAGTATTTTTTCCGGTTTCAGTGAGTAAAAATCTATAAAAGAAAAACAGTCGAAAGATCCTATGCAGTGTTTTGGTTGCAGAACTGTGTAACTGACATCTGCTAATTCATGAAACATGAAAAGGCAAGTTTCTCCTGTAGGCCATTGCACACACAGTGACAGTTAAGAAAACAACTGTAAGAACACAAGCAAAGTGAAAACATTGTTCAAGCATGTTCAGTCAAAACCTTTTGACCCTTTTAACTCCACTGGCATCACCTCTCCTTAGCTCGGTATTCCCATGTAGAGAGTGAGGAGGTGAGAAATATATCAGCTATCAACTCTGGTTTTAGACTAACATATTCAAACCTATTCCTCGTGATTCCTTGTAGGAAATAAAAAACTTACAACAATAAAACTGAAGGTATAAAAATACATTTTTAAATTAAGTTTGTTCTTATCTTCACTAGAAAAATTCCTTTTTGCTCTACATCCATATGTCCATATGAACAGAATCAACCTTTTGGGATTTCCTTTCCTGTGCGACTCAGCGTGCATCAAGTCATATGCTGTTAAAAGTTTACTGAAAAATATACACCCTAAACCAGGTCTGCCATCAGGATTACATGACAACAAAGTTTGAAAGATGAGGGAAAAGGAATATGAAAATACAGTTGTAACCAAAAAACAGACACTTGTTGTTACTGCTGAGTAAATTTTATTGTGGATCTTTCCTGAAAATCAGGTTTAGAAGTTCTGCTGAGTCACGGTGAAGTCAGCAGCATTGTTGGCCCTTTCATCTCCGGTGAAACCTATCCAATAACTGTGTCATTTACGGTCTGTGTTTTTCCACTCACTGCAGTAATGGATTACCTATAATATAATAATTTAATTGCAATGGAACTTCTGGTGTGTACTGGTCTGCTGGGGCTACTGCTCAAAGACATGCAACTCACCACCCTGGGCTGAGCTTATCAGGGAAAAACTGATATGTTTACCACATAAACAGGTTCTCAGCTGTTTTGGGGCTGAATCTTTTTCGATTTTTCCAGCCTATCCCCAGCAAACTTTTGTTTGTTTGGTTTGTTCTGCACACTGCCAAACAGTTCATTCAAAAATGAATATTTAAGTCAGTACAAGGTTTTTTTTTTCCTTATTTAGAAAAAATAACGTTTATCAAGTTGCCATAGGGTGATTATGACTATTCGCAAGTCCATTTCCCGTTGATTAATGCCTTTTAAATCGGAAAAAAACATTTTGATGGTTTGCTTAGCAAAGAAAAGAATCTCTACTGAAGTTTATTAGAAACTATTATGCATGTCATATACTGTGACATTGGCATTTATCCCCCGCTCTCGCTCTTTCTTTGCTGAGTTAATGAAGCTCACCTAGCAGTCTTTCTTTCTAATCTTTGTGACATCAATCATATTGAGGAGAAAGAAGAGGACGATAGACTATTTATTATTTATCTGCTATTTGGATCTCGGCGTTTAAGTGGGTTTTTCTATTCAATTCAATTTAATTTTAGTTATATAGCGCCAAATCACAACAGCAGTCGCCTCCAGGTGCTTTATATTGTAGATCGTACAATAATAGATACAGAGGAAAACCCAACAATCTTATGAACATATACTGGTCTTCCCAATTCACACCCCAAAAAACAATTCCATTTTCCTTTACACACGCGTGTGCTCTGGTTTGTAAAAATAGGAATCCCGTCTCCTCCTCCGCCTGAACACAGTAAGTCACCTTTGGAAACTCCATGGTCACGTGACGTGGGTGTATTTAATCACGGAATTTCAAAACATCTACCGTTTCTAAACTCGACATGCTGTCGAAACAGAAGTATCGAGCGTCGCACCCAGATTCACCTGCAGTGCTCCACCCTGCTCGTCGGTAGTACTGTGATACTCAGTTTTGCAGTTTTTCTTGACTACAGAGAGGAGTCGACTGGAAAATACTTTTGTTGCAATGGCTCTTCCTGTGTTGCTGCTGCTGTGCACTGCTCCGCTGGTCCGGGGCCACGGCTCAGGTGTGGTTATAGACAGCTGTGAAGACATGGAACTCCACCACTCTGGGCTGAGCCCACAGACTGCACCGTCACCCTTCACTGTCACTACAGAGCAAAGGCGCTACGGACTCGGAGAGGATGTCATAGGTAAGTAAACATGAGTGAGAGAAAGCTCGACGGCCGTTGGTATGTCACTCGATTCAGTGGTTTATAAGGAAATGAATTATTGGTGAAATTTGTAGTGTGTTTTGGAGGTGATTTTGTGGGAGATGGCAAACCAGCGTGTGAAATATGATAAGATAAGATAAGATAAGATAAGATAAGATAAGATAAGATAAAACTTTATTAATCCCTCGGGTGGGTTCCTCTGGGAAATTCGGTTTCCAAAAGCACAGCACCGACAGAAGTTACAGTTACAGAATATTATACACATACACACACACACACACACATACATATATAAATACAGACACATATAAATAAAATATACGAAGGGGATAAATAGAATAAATAGGAATAAAAATACAAGTTACAATTTGGGATGTTTTTTGGAGATTAGCTTGTAATATAGTACAACTTTGTTTTGTGATCATCACATGACTGAAAACTGTCTGACTCTGAATAAAATGCAAACTGTTAATTGGGAGTTTGTTCTAGTTTATAGTAATAATACAATAAAGATAACTTGTACTTTAAGGTATTTCTTCAGCAGTGTAAAACAGAATTGTTTTTTAGCTGGTGAGAATAAAAACTCAGTGGACCCTTTCTTTGGTCAGATTCCACCTCTTAACCAAAAAGAGTTGACAATATTGTATCTCCTGGATGAGGGTGGGTGGGTGTGTGTGCGTGCGTGCGTGTTTCCGTTGACTAGGTTGGCTAGTGAATGAGTTTTACACTTAAATAAATTTTAAATTATATATTTAAAGTATTAATCTAATTTAAAAATGTATTATTTGTCTTTAAATCAGAAATTTTATGAAAGCATTGTGATAAGTATGGTTTGTGGCTTGGCTGCAGAGGAGGGCTGGAACAGCAGGTTCAGGGCATCTTGACAGGGGGAGGTTGGCAAAACAATATGCTTTCTCTATTTTAGTAACCGCTTGTACCGACATCATGCTGCTGAAGTGGGAAATGAAGCAGAAGCATAAACAACATATACCCGAGTTGTGTTGGGTCCTTTCGTGTCATGGTCCTGAGTGTGGTGACCCAGTTTTTGTGTTTTGTGCTCGCCTCTGTCAGTGCGCCCCAGGGCAGCTGTGGCTACAATGTAGCTTGCCATCACCAGTGTGTGAATGGTTGGATGACTGAATGTAGTGTAAAGCGCTTTGGGGTCCCTAGGGTCTAAGTAAAGCAATATAAATACAGGCCATTTATCATTTTGATTATTGATATTATTTTTATTATGTTTGATTACTCCCAGCTGTGCTCTCCTTTTGTGTCATTCCCTTGTTTCTCCCTTGTGTATGTAAGCCCTGTGTTTTCCTCTGCCTCTTGTCATGTTGTCCCAGTGTTTCTGGTTTCCATTGTTCCTATAGTCTTTCAGTTTCTAGTTATCCAGTGTTTAGTTCTTAGTTTCCATGTTCAGGGTTTTGGCTTGTTTATGATGAGTTTATTTTATGGAGTATTTTTCCCAGCATATAAAGCTGCTGCTTTAAGTTTCCTTTTCCGTGTACGAGTCCTGCATTTGGGTCCTTCATCCTGCCTGCCACACAGCCACACATGACATTTTGGATCATGTTGGAGCCCTAACCTGTGCAACCAACTGAGGCGCTTGGTCAGATTGTGATGCAGCTGGTGGCGACGCAACAGGAGCAGGCAGCAGTGCATCGCAAATGACTGGTGATGCTGCAGCCCCAAGTCGAACATCAGACAGAGGTGTTGGAAAACTCCCCCGCCATTTCCCCCATGACGCTTACCGGATGGTGGAGAAGGAACACCCCTAGGGTGTTTCTAGGGGTCTTTGTGGCTACAGAGGAGGCGTGCCGGTGGCTGGGTAAAGAGCGAACCCTCCGCTTGTTGCCGCTGCTCTCAGGGAAGGCCCAAGCTGTTGCTGTGAGCCTTCCCGCCACAGCGATGACAAATGATGTGATGGCTTGGCCTCCCAAAGATCATTGGCACTGCTTCTGGCATGTGGAGAAGCAACTGGCAAAGTGACTTCATGATGCCGCAGTCAGGTGGTTGCAGCCGTGGCTCTTCTGTAACTGGCCGGCGAGCCTCAATATTGTGGTGACATCGGCGGCACCCTTCCCCTGGTATAAGAGAGACATACTGGGTTCTGGTAAGGTACCAAGGGTGTACACGCCAGGTGCTGGTGGACCAAAGCATAGACAACATGTGCTGAGTCATGTCGGGTCCTTTCACAGTCTTAGTCGCGCCAGCTTTCTGGAGGTGTAAGTGTGATAGAAGCGAAATGGCTGCCATTTAGCCCCAAGCAAGCTGCCTGATTTAAGCATTGTACCAGTCTAAGTTAACAGTTCATCAGTATATTTTAATGAAACTTTCGTAACTTACGGTAGATGTTTTTCTGTGTAAAACAAATGGCAGTGGATAAAGCAGCTACAAAGTTCACCTTTTTCCCCACGTTGGTGCTTGTTAAACAGGGAGACTGAAGGACTTGAGTAAAGGTTTTAATGGTGGTTACATTTCAAAGTGCTGCTGTTTTGGGCGCTAGAAAAATGTTTTCTTTCACTCCACATGAACCTCTTTGCTCTTTGTGTTGTGTGTAGACTGACTTGGGCTCCATGTTAAACTGTGATAACATCATTGTTACTGCGGCTGTTGTGTTATCAGTTTTTTTGTGTAAACAGAGGCTGCTTGGGCTTAAGGCTGTCATGACTGTTATGCACAGCCGTGCTCCTAGAAACATTTCTATTGTAAATATGTTTTAGCCGCAGATGTGGGTGACACGCTTGCATTTACATGTTGACAACTGAGCTCTCCAGTCATGCATTAAATGAAGCATCAACTCCTCCTAAAATCTTTGATAATTCTTTTTTCTTTCTCTTTTTTTGAAATAATAAAGGTATTTGAGTAAGTTGATCGTTGCAGCCCTAAAAGTGACTAAGGTTATTTTTCAAAAATCTTATTGTCAAAGAATAACACCAGTTTCATTCTTCTTCATTTTTGTTTTTCTGATTCCAAGTTGAGCTGCAGGGTCCAGCCTCTACACCATTTACTGGTTTCCTATTGGAGGCTAGAGAACTGGGAAGCAAGAGTCCTGTGGGTTCCTTTGCCATACCAGAAGGGGCTGCTCAACTCCTCACCTGCAGCCAGAGAGCTGTGAGTATTCTGGAAGTTAATTTGAGCAGCATGTTTATGTACTGGAACTTAAGTCTGCTATCAGTTTGATGCCAAAGTTTTTGCTGTCATTCTTTTTTTTTAATATATTTATTTTTAAGTTTTCAGTCCCAGTTCCATTTACCGGTATATGCATTTTAAATTTTAGTTGTTGGATGGTAGTTAAGCTTTAATACTTGAGTTTTATTAATGTTAATTTTATATCCTGAAAGAAAACCATAGTCGTCTAACAATCTCATCACATTTGAAAGTGATTCAGTTGGATTAGTCAAGAAAATCAATATATCATCAGCAAATAGGGCAACCCATGGGGGACCCCTGTTATTTCTACGCTTTGTCTTATATATTGACAAATAGAGAAAACAGAAGTGCGGAAGCTCCACATCCTCGATGGGTTCCTCTTTCTAGACTGTTCTAGACTGTTCTTTCTGCCTGTTGTTTTCTTAACCTTATGACAGAAGTTTTAATGCTTTTCCTCCTGTATCATAGTACCGTTGTTTTGTAAGCAGAAGGTTCTTTTGAACCTCTTCTATATTTATCGCATCTGTCTCCCTCCGTACTTCCTTTATTTTTGTCCTGACTGAGTTACATAGTGAAACTGAGTGTTCTTTCACTAGTTTTATAAATGTACTTTCTAGCTCTTGTAGTTTTTGCTTTCTGCACTTCTTTAGCACAGAGGAGATGGCTATGATCTTACCACGAACTACTGCTTTTAAAGCGGATGATCTGATATCTTCGTGTTGGTGTTGTTCCCACATCATCATAATAAATGTTGTTCAAGGTTCAACATTGCAAGTGATCGATCACCTTGTTGTGACGTAATACTTTTGCAAGCCAAGTGAGTCATTCATTTATGAAATTCCAATGTTGCAAGGACAATATGTATAATACTTACCGTTTATTAAAGAACAGTATCCTGAAATGCAAAGAATTCAGAATTTTGCTGGATTGGCAGACAGAGGCGGTTTCTCGCAAGTTAAGTACTTTTTTTTTTTTTACGGCGTTTTTTTCCAAAGTTGCAAAAGTATGGCGTCACAACAATGTGATTGGTCATGATGATGTGGGAACAACACCAACACAAAGATATCAGATCATGCTTTTAAAGCATCCCATAGTGTTACTTTTGAAACCTCACCATTATCATTATATTCTAAATAAGATTGAATTTCTAATTTCAAAATGTCTTTAACTTCAGTTGTATTCAGAATGTTTGTATTTATCCTCCAGATGGTAGATTTTGTTTCATTGTTTATATTAAGTGTCAAATACACAGGCTCATGAGCTGAAATGGTACAGGTATCGATGACACATTAAAAAAATAATCTGTACCTGTTGCTTTTAAACATCAGGAAAAAATCAATTCGGGAGTAAACATTGTGTGCTGAGGAATAGTGGGTATAATCCCGTACAGTAAGGTTATGTTCCCTGCACATATCTCTGTTTCAAATCTCCATATTTTGTCTCCTTCTTCTGTCTTTGTTTCTGTCTTCATTTATTTTTTTGTGCTATTTGTATTTATATGTTCTATTTCTATTGTATATATTAGTCGGCATCTATGGGTGGACAACAAAAAAAGAATTTCATTGCACAGAGAAATGCCTTTTCTTGTGTGACACATGACAATAACATCTTGAATCTCCATATATCCACTATTCCAAGCTCTTTCATATAATTCTTAACCTTTTTACTAATGCTTTTAGTATTTGTCCTCCCATTAGAACTATCCATTTTAGGATCCAGTCTTATGTTAAAATCACCCCCACATATTGGGCTTTGGGTTGTGAATAGCTCAAGTATCTGTTAGTAAAATCCCCAGTTGCTACCTGGAGGCATATAAACATTTAGCAGACTAACTAAGACTCCATCTATTTTACCCTTAACCATAGTGTATCTTCCCTCCTTATCTTTGTGGTCGGAAATGAAATCAAAATTAACTTTATTGGAAAGCAAAATTGCTACCCCTCTACGCGAGGAAAAATATACCTTGGAGTGTCCCATTCTGTTTAATTTTGTATGTTCACTATCAGTGAGATGAGATTCCTGTATATATGCTATCTGAACCTTAGTCTTTGTCAATTGCAATAGCATGTTTGCTGTTTTAATTGGATTAATTATGCCATTTATATTCAAAGAGACAAAAATTATAGGCCTACTAGACATCTGACTGTATTACAACCACAAAATCTCTGGTACTCTTCCCTTTTCTGCTCAGAGCAGCAATGTATAACAACATACAACAAAACACCTAACAAATGTGGCTGAGTATAGAAAATGTGCAGCATTGTGCAGGAGAGAACATATGACTTACGTGTCCTATATACAGTGTCATTAGTTTTTGTGACAAGTTAATTAAAACTATGCAGCAAGGTATATTGTGTTTGGCATGTCACTTGCACTCTCTCTCCCTTTATGCAAATGTGTGCCCAGAACTCGGCTGTGTCCCACACATCAGGCTTTAATAGCAGCTACGTTCAGGTGACATGGAGATCAGAACCATCAAGAGACATCAAAGCTGTTCATTTCTGGTAAATGGTCTATTAATTACATTTTATTTACCAAATCATAACAACAGTTGCCTCAGGTGCTTTATATTGTAAGGTAAAGACCCTACAATCATACAGAGAAAACCCCAACAATCATCACTACTATTAGCAAGATCTTTGGCAACAGTGGAAAGGAAAAACTCCATTTTAACAAGAATAATTTCATTGTCTGCCTTGCTCAAATTAGCAAAGCACTTTCATAAAGCTCAGGTGTTTATACCCCAGTTCACACTGGTTTTGGTGTCGCTGCAGTGCATCCTTTGTGCAGAATTCTACAACATTTTGGATCAATGTGACGAGCCCTGTCCTGACCTTCACTAACGGCAGAGCTGCTAGATCTGCAGGTGCCCTCACTACATCCACTGACAATGGCAGTTTACAACCTGGATCACTTGTTGTAAGTAACAATGTCTGTTTTGAACAAAGTTTGGTTGGCAGTTTCATCCTACAAATGGACTGATTTATTATCTGTTGGCTTAGAGGCTGATGGAAGTCTACCATCTTCTGTATTCTGCAACTCCTCTGGGACTGAGCAGCTCAGAAAATAGAGCAGGTTGTCTGCTTAGGTTTTGGTGGTTCACTCACCAGTTTCTCGAGTCTGTACGTCACAGTGCATGTGTGTGAATGGTTATAAGGACCAGTTTATTTACTACAGTGGTCTCAAACTTAAATGAGCTGTGGGCCACTGCTGACACTGTCATCTCATGTGACGGCCAATTTAGTGTTCAAGTAGCACAAAAACAAACAAACAAACAAGAAAATGCCCACAAATATTTCCGAAAATGTAGCATTTTGTTTTTAAAATTTCCAATATTGTATAACAAGACAAAACTGCAAATGTGAATGCATTTTTTTCTCACTTTTACCAAACTGAAGCCTTTCATTGAACTACCAAATAAACAAATTGGTACTCTCTTTCTGGCCACACGCCAGATTTGGTGATTTGGTGCCGTATAAATAAAAAAATAAGATTACACAGTATATTCAAAATGATGATGCCAAAGTTTTCTCTTCCTGTGTGTGCAGAAATCAGCTGGACCCATCTCTAGTGCTGACTGTGGGGTCACCAAGGTGTGCTTCAGTCAGCCTTCAAACTGTGACCCAGCAGTCAGTGCTAGCTGTTATTTCATGTCAGCCAAGATGTTAGCCGGTGGTGAAGCTGTCCACTTTGAGATGACTGGTCCTTATGAAGGATATATTGCTTTTGGATTCTCTGATGATCAAAGAATGGTAATGTAAAGACAAAATTATCAGTCCCTTGAAATTAAAGTTAGGTTTTTGTTTATTTGTTTGTTTTTTAAGCAATAACAGCAATAAGCCTCTTGGTGTATTTGTATTTAAGAGCACCTGTTGGTGAAAAGCTGCTGTATCACAGTCATTGTTCACTTACCTCCAATTTGCACATTTCCTATAGGACTAATAAAATATTCTGATGATTCCCACCAATTTTGTGAGCAATGCTAAATCATTCACAACTTGTAAAACAGGCTAATTCATTCCAAATTTGTCTTTCCCCAGGGAAATGATGACATTTACGTTTGTGTTATGAAAAGCAATGGACAAGTTGAGGTGGAACATATGTATTCAACAGGACGATCAAAGCCACAAGTTCTTCCTCTGGTACTACATTTTTTTCCTGATAGCAGCGATTTATACAAGGCTAGAATGTTTCCATTCAGTTCTGTGGAAAAAGTGAACTGCATGTGTATTTTTTGTGAATTCCATCTTACTCCATAAATTACATCTGAGATTTATGTGTGTTTGTTTCCAACAGGGGAATGTTTATAATATAACAACGTCATTGCAGAACAGTGTCATCAGTTGTGTCTTTACTACCACAAACACAATTTCTATTGAGGGGACTTCTGGTTTCAACCAGTCCTACTACCTCTTGTTTTCCTATGGACCCAGCAACAATGGTAACATAATTTGATGTGTCAGATGGTTTGTTACACCAAACAAGTCAGTCTTTTAAACTGTTTGGAAAGGTCTCTTTCAAATGATACTTTGCAGGTGATCTAATAAGCACGTGTTTTTTATTGTTTACAACTGTACTCCAGTAAATACTTTTACTTGGAACGGTTATGCAGGGCCTTTGACTGTGGTTCCTTTTCCAATAATGTAAAAAGTGTCAAATGAGTTCACTTTTAATACCTCTGTCTCTACCAGTTTATGAAAATGAAACTTGTTTCATAGGCATGCAAAGCTTAGTCTTTTTCCTTAAAAGGAATCCTAACCCAGCTTGCATCTAAATAGTAGATTACAAACTTGCACCTACTCATGCATTAGCTATTAGCTGAATGTATTATATGCACATAAAGCTGATGCCTTTTGGCCATATTCACTCTCACCTTTTTTTTTTTTTTTTTTTTTTTCCAACCAATGGGGTTTTTTTTTTTCTAGGCATGTTACACTTTTTCTTTTTCACATCAAGTTCAATGTCAGACTATTTCCTTTTATGTATTATTCACTCATGAATCCCACTTTCAATTTATGCCACCACAAGAGAGGGATTGGTTGTGGTATGTGGAAACGTATTCATAGCTTATTCTGTGAAATTTAAATGTTGGTATGGTTAAATGTTATCCTGTGTGACACTCACACATGCATACACATATACAAGTGTCTGTAAACTTTGATATATCTTTCCTACAGGATCAATAAGAATCCATATGGGTACCTTCACCAGCAATAAAAGGATCAATATTAATAATCCCCTTGTTGTTGGCAAAGATGATGTTCCTGATATCATCAAAGCTCATGGTAAGACCTTGCACAAAGTGATACGTGTAAAATAAAAATGTTTTTTAGTCCAAAATAATCTCAGCAAAGTCCTTTGTCATTTTTTGCTAAGCTGTTCACAGCTAAATGATTTGAAAGTCCTTGGAAGATAAATGCTACCAGGAACGTCATTTCATTTGTACTTTTAGCACGATTAAAGTGTTTAATCTATAATACTGAGTAGACTTGCAGTCCTTTAAATTGAACTGCACATGTTTCACAGACACAAGTTACACAAACAAGGAACCAAAACAGTGGATGAGGTTGGACACATTAGATGGGTGGTCTCTTAACAATAACTGTCCTTTTTCATGAGACAAGGATATGCAAAACAATAATTTATAACAATCTTCAGATGTTTGAAAACTAATAGAATTTTGAAGATGTGAAAAACATTTCTGTGCCGCTTTTCTGCTAATGGTATACCTGTAATTATGGCAATGGACTCAGTTTCTTGGCCCAAGGTTGCTGTTTGGCTGCTCACTGTCTATATTACCTCTGCTCTGTTGACTCATTAGTTTAAATCCAGAATTTGACAACTACTGTCAAATGTTTCTGCTCTAAATTTTTAGTCAGTTGACAGACCACATGTTTACTCCAGGGGAAGAAATTCATCTTAACTCCTAAAACAAAGAGAAGTGGAGAGAATTTCAATATTTAACTGTGTTTCAGGATCACTCATGCTGATTGCCTGGATGACCACAGGATCACTCGGCATGATGGTTGCCCGATATCTAAAAAAAATGGCCAAGGGAAAAAAAATGTGCGACAAAGATCTCTGGTTTATGGTGAGACATCATAGACAAAACCATGTATTATCTTTTCAATGTGGAACCAAAGTTTTTGTAAACTAAACTAGGCTTGAAAATAACTTAAACTTGGTGTGTTTCCAGAATAAATTTCATGACTAAAAATATTAACTTCATAAGTAATTTCAGATATCCAATCCAATCCAAGATATAATAGACTTGTAAGACAGCTTGGTCCAAGCCTAATGTTATCTGGACAAATGTATTGGTTTAGCTGCCACAGTATCATGCTGTATTCTTTGTGTTCCTCCAGGTCCATGTTGGAGCAATGTGTCTGACGGTAGCAGCCACAATCATTGCTTTCATCCTTGTGTTCGTTCATTCTCAGGACTGGTCTGGGGTTAGTACACTGACTCTGCTAGATTCTAAGAATCTTAGTTAAGTTATGGTTTTGTACTATTCATTACAGCGACAATCAAATGATAAAACCGTGTTTCTCTGTAATAATATTTATTTTCTTATTTATTCCAACTAAATTTTATGTGTTGTTCACACAGAATTGGGGGTAATTGTTGAATACAAATTGTTGATTATATGAATGCAAATACCCTCCAAATTATGTTGCATTTAGATTTCATTTAATCCCAGTTTTTAAACCCTATATTTAAGTACAAATGTATTTATATAGCACTTTTCAAGATCATTTCTGCAAAGTGCTTCACAATCAAAATAGTTAAGTTAAAAAGAACTCCAAACGTTCCTCATTGAAGATTTAGTTGATATTGCGTGGACATCAAGAGTTTTAATTACATTACAAGGACTTTGTTTTCTGTTTGAAGAAAATTATCAGCCATTCATTTTTTTAAATAGTCCAAACACCTATGCAAGACCTGTTGCTTAGAAAGTGCAAAGAGTGTGTTTATACACCACTTTGCATTTAATCCTTAGTTACTCTCTGGCTCTCGTCCATAACATTTTGCCTGTCGTGTCTCCCCATCACCTCCAACCAGTTGCAGCAGATGGCTGCATCACCTGAGCCTGGTTCTGCTGGAGGTTTCTAACAGAAAAGAAGGGAATATTTCCTTCCCACTATCACCAAAAGCTTGCTTCCACCAGTTGTAGTAGTGATGCAGAAACATTATGCCTTTTGACAACCAATCCACATATGAACAGGTTCAAGAAATAATTTGAGGGATAAATGGAATCTGTGGGCTGCATCCAGTTAGTTTCACTTTAGTTTTTTATAAAACAGTCATCTCATGGTGCTTTACATTAGAAGGATGAGCCAAGGGAGTTTAATATAATTCAACTTAATATGAATGCGATAACCATACCAACCAGGTATGGACCCCTCCAACCCTTGGCTTTGGTGTGCAGAAACAACTCCCGTGTAACAGTAGCACCCTCTGGCAAAACCAGACTGAAGGAGGACGATCATCTCCAGCTTTTGGTTGTGATGTGATTGTAGAAGAGAATAGCGACACCATGTAAAACCTAAAGGACAAAATGCAAACTATGGAGATGACAAAAAGTTGGTGCATATTTATAAGCCAATATTGCAAGTCATTAAGACAAAAGGCAAGTGGAGCAGAAGTGCCCCTCATGGGAGGTACATCTAGAAATGATTAAGTTCTCATGGTACTCTCAAAGGTACTCGTACTTTTCACTCTGGGGTTATTTGTGGAGGCTTTACCTTCACTTGGGTAGTAGAGCAAGTCATCTATCAAACAGAAGGTCCATAGATCAATCCTCAGCTCCTCCAGTCTGCAAGTTGCATCCACAGGCAAGATTAATATACCCCTTCAAAGTGTTTTTTTTTTCTTTTCTCTTGATATTCATTAAGCACTCTTTAGTTGTGTGTTTCAGCTCTCAGACTGATATTTATGCCCCATGATTAGCACTGTTAATGTGTTTGGTATCCAGGGAGCACATCCAGTGTTGGGGTGCCTGGTTATGATCCTCTCACTCATCCAGCCTATCGGGGCCTTGCTGCGCTGCGGACCACAACATCACCTGTATGTATCCATCTGTGTGTGTTTAATTAATATACTATATCATGCCTATACACATTTAAGAATACTCTGTTCAAATATTATTAAAAAATAAATAAAAATGGCCTCACTTTTTTTTTTCTCTACAATTATTTAACAAATTTTGAAAACACGATAAACCAAAGGAATGGGGCAGTACATGCTTAATGACTAAATGCACTGCTCACTCGGCAAAGTGAGGTTATAAAGTTATTTGATAACCCTAAGAGTTGTATTCATACTTCAGCCATAAAAGTTTTTAAAATTTCAAACTTTTGCAAAGTGTAGCCTGCATGTGCTTTATCAGAGCACACTTTCACACTGAAACACCAAGTAGGAAACTAATTTGCACATGACTCGTGAAAGTTATTCCTTCCTCTTAGTAATAATGGTACTTTTAATAAATATAGCCTGGTTGTAGCTTTGGAGGCCAGACTCAGTAAATGAAATATTTTTTAAGTGAAATATAGATTTAGTAAAATTGTATGTTCAGTAATGATACTTGTTTTCATAAATTGGATGCAGGAGAAATCTTAGACAAGAACTTCAGAAGCTGATGATTTTATAGTTCTTCTCTTTTCTTTGATAGGAGGTATCTGTTCAACTGGACACATTTTTTAAATGCGGTGGTAATAAAATCTATAGCTGGTAAGCTTGTGTTTTCCTTCATTCTACCATCTTGCATATATGCTAACATTTTCAATAGCAGACACACTGTCTCCCATGCTGCTCGTCTTAAAATGCCTGCTTCTTTGTGTCACACAGTGGCAGCCATATTTACAGGCCTGGACAGGATTGACAGTGATGATGGGTGGCTATTGAAAGTGATGGGTGGCTTCTTTGCCTGGGAAGTTCTCTTCATCATCATTTTGGAGGTCCATGATTGGGTAGTTAAACACAGAGGTAAGCCTTTTTTTTGCATTTCAGTGATGAAGGAAAAAATCATCACTACCCATATACACTTTAATGACAAAAACCAATCTAGACCCAACAGTCCATTTGCACGGTGAAGAGCCACCTGATCAGTTCAGCAGCAGTTTAGCTGACTGAGTGAAGAGTATAACCCCTGTACACCTCAGAATGTGGTTGGATGGGTAAAATAAACAGCACTGTATCACAAGATTTTCTGTGTATAATACAGCAGCATCAAATATTGGTATTTATGAATTGATGAGTGAAAACGCGTAAGAATGTCTCAATGGTAGTCTGCTGGAACAAAAGCTGTTACACTTTAACTGTGCTGAAGTACAGCGACAAAGGAATCTTTATCTTTCGATTTATTAAATGCATGAAAATACTCTGGGAATACTATACACGAAGGCTCAGCTCATGCACCACCAACCTAATGTTATCAGAGAGAACTTGCATTGAATTGTCTCAACTGAGACTATCCAATTTTGGACACGTGTAGTTTGACAATGCTGTGGCTCAATGCGTGGCTCAGTCACACAAATTATATAAAAAAAATATGATCACAACCTCTTTGTGTCTACAAAAACTGGTTAATGTTTGGTGATTTTTAAAAAATGTTTTACCCCCCCGTGCCGCACACACTTTCCATGACCAATGGCAACTTGACATGCTAAATGTTTACATAGAGCTTCCAGCACATTGTTATCGTTCTGAAAGTTGTTGTTTTTTTTTGTTTTGTTTTTTTTCAATCACCACAACTACTCAACTCGACTCAATTTTATTTAAATTGATTTCAAATTGTTCTTCTTCTGTTAAAGCTTAAAACTAATATCATAACTCAACCTGTATAAATAAAATGATTAAAAACATAGCTGACTGCTTTAGTTCACTTCAGTTAATGTGCCCTGCAATATTTCACTGTTCTTTGCTCTGGGTTTCAGATGATACTGCTGATCAAATGGAATCAGCATTGGTAAGCTGAAAGAAATATAAAAGCAAGCAATCACTGATTGACACAAGATGGAGTATTTCTAATATAATTTTACTTTTTTTGTCAGGTCAAAGGTGACAGTTGCCTGATCGCTGTGTACCTTCTGGGAAACCTTTGCTTTTTGGTGGCACTTCTGGTTGGAATTGGAGAAAAATGAGCAGCAGCAGAATCTTCCAGAGTGTTTCCCTGTAGTTTTGTTGAATTTTATCATCAATTTTAACATACTTGATGAGAGACTGCACTGGAAATTCAGACCCACTGATGCATCAGTTGGCGAATCTTGGAAAGTTTCTCAGTAATGTCTTTAAAAAATATTACTTATGTTTTTTTTCTCTTTTGCTTTTAGTTGATAATTAAGGTGTACTTTCAATCAGCATTCAATTTCACTGGGCCAAGCATTACTGTCGTGTGTGTGTGTGTGTGTGTGTGTGTGTGTGTGTGTATTATGTCTCACAGTTGCAAAGAAAGAAGTAGTTTTAGTCGCCTTTAGCCTCCACTCTGGCTGCCAGGTAAACCAGTTTCATTTTACAAGCTGGTTACATTTTTTAAGCCAAACAGCAATTTTGTATTAAAAAGTACTTTTAACAATTTTTCCTTTTACATTTTTAAATCAGGTCAACTCGACCCACATCATAATGGGAGGGTTAAAGCCCTTTTCACACATTAACATCTGTTAATATGACAGCATCTATGTATGAATCTGCACCTTTGTCACTTTCATTTGAAAAAAAAAAAAACTGTCATTGATTCAGCTCCTGAACTTCCCATTTAATGTACATTTTTTTTCATATATTTCTAATAATCTTGCTGTCAATAACAACTGACAATAAGACAACAAATTTTTAACTTCATTAAATTGAAAATTATGTATGTCAGTGTAGTAGTGTTAAATGCTTACCAGGTTCAGATGCAAATGAAGAAACTCCACTCAGGCAAGTCTGCTGGACCAGATGGAGTGAGTCCCCTCAAGGCCTGTGCCCCCCAGCTTTGTGGAGTCTTCCATAAACTGTTCATGCTGAGTCTGAAGAGGGTCCCAGTGCTGTGGAAGACATCAAGCCTCGTCCCTGTACCAAAGACGCCATGTCCCAGTGGCCCCCAGGATTACAGGCCTGTGACACTGACCTCCCACATCATGAAGACCCTGGAAAGGCTCATCCTGGACCAGCTCTCACCCATTGTCAGACCACATCAGGATCCCATTCAATTTGCTTACCAGCCCCGTCTCACAGGACGCCATCATCTATCTGCTCAATCGTGTCTACATCCACCCGGACCAGCCGGCGAGCACTGTGAGGTTCATGTTTTTTTTTACTTTTCCAGTGCTTGGTGATAAGCTAACAGCAATGCAGGGGGATGCTTCTCTAGTGTCCTGGATTGTTGATTACCTGACAGGAAGACCACAATATGTGCGTCTTCCACAGTGTGTGTCTGACAAGGTAATCAGCAACACAGGAGCACCTTAAGGGACCATCCTCTCCCCCTTCCTCTTCACCCTCTACACCACAGACTTCAGCCACTGCACAGAGACCTGCATCTTCAGAAGTTTTGATGTAAATTTGTAAGTTTTGATGTAAGTAAATTTGCGGTCAATTTAGACTCAATTCAAAATCTCCTACTTGGGACGAACACTAAATGTAAATAGCTGACTTTCTAAATAAACCTATCCATCTTTGCAAGGTCAATTTTTGCTTTCATTAAATTCCAAATGTTTAGCCACAACTAGCTTAGCTGTCCTACTCTTGTTACTGCTCTTTCCTACTGCTGTTACAATCAAATGAACATCTCTGCAAAGATAAATTAGCTGAGACCTTAGGTTGATGGTAGTTACTAGCAAACACAGAAACTTACATACACTATATAGTACAGTTCTATGATACATCACCAAATAGAACAATTTGTGGCAATGCAGACAAGCAGAGAAACAGTTTAAATAGTTGAATTTGTTCACTTGATCGGAGGTGTGTTTCCTGCAGATATACAACATCGGATCTCAATGATTTTAAATGAGTAAAAACCCTTGTGCGTTTAACCGGATTATTTATACCTTTAACATTCCAGCATATAAAACGAAGAGCAGATGACTTTGCGAGCTTGCCATTCAGGTACCAAAATGCAGGTGCAGAAAAAATATGTCCCAACCTCTGGAATAATAAATCTTTCGTGCTTGAATCGATACGGTCCAATGTCCTCTTTTCAGAGCTAGCAATAGCTCTCATAATCTCACTCATGTCATGGGGTGGTGCCTCCGGTCTGTCCTCAGCATGGTCCTGTCAGGATCTGACGGCGCCCTGACCGGTCGACGTGTGTGTGTGTTCACCCAGGGATTGACGGAGGATTTACGGACACTAAGGAAGCACTTGGAGGAGAGACGGGCACTCACTACCACGCACGGGCTTACACGGAAGGAGGGACGCACTATCACCATTGTTGCACATTTGAACTGTTGTCACCTTGCTGCACTGTAAATAAATGCACTGTCATTATTTCTGAGCTCCGCGCCTGAGTCCACTCTTTAACAACCGTGACAGGTCCGAGGCTTTTGCGGCCTGCTCTTTCC